CTCCTTTCCCCTACCCTCCACTCCCTTCCCCTTCACTCCTCTCGACTCCATTCCCGTCCCCTCCCTTCCCCTCCCCTGCACTTCCCTCCCCTTCCCTCCCTTCCCCTCCCCCTCCCCTTTCCTCCCCTCCCCTCCCTTCCATTCCCTTCCTGTCCCCTCCACTCCCTTCCTCTCCCCACCACTCCACTACGCTAACAACCACCCCAAAACTACCGGCGAAGCTTCAAACAATACTTAACCAAAATGGCGGTACAATTAGTGTTAGTGTCCTTCTCTGCTAACGATACTGTTGCAAAAGAACAGGATCCCGCAATGGTTATAAAATATGATATTTTGCTTTTTTATTCTTTTATTCTTTATTTATTTTTATCATTATTTTATATATAGGCCTATATATTTTTTGTTGAACTTAAAAATGACGTGACATACTCTCACTCTCTCTCTCTCTCTCTCTCTCTCTCTCTCTCTCTCTCTCTCTCTCTCTCTCTCTCTCTCTCTCTCTCATCCCCCCCACCCTCTCTCTCTCTCTCTCTCTCTCTCTCTCTCTCTCTCTCTCTCTCTCTCTCTCTCTCTCTCTCTCTCTCTCTCTCTCTCACCCCCCCCCCCACCCTCTCTCTCTCTCTCTCAACCCCCCCTCTCTCTCTGTCTCTGTCTGTCTCTCTGTCTGTGTCTCCCTGTATGTCTGTCTGTCTGTCTATCTGTCTCTCTTTGTCTCTCTCTCTCTCTATATATATATATCCCCGCCGCGTCTCTCTCTCCCTCCCTCCCTCTCTCTCTCTCTCTCTCTCTCTCTCTCTCTCTCTCTCTCTCTCTCTCTCTCTCTCTCTCTCTCTCTCTCTCTCTCTCTCTCTCTCTCTCTCTCTCCTCCCTCCCTCCCATTGAAAATAATAATTTTCTCACTCAGAGTTAAACTATCATTTTCAAACTTGCTGTCTTAACCCATAAGATATAAGATAAATATATCTAACAAACGAACAAAAATGCAGTGAAGAGGCGTGTTGCAAGGGCGATGTTGCAGCGTAGGTGTGTACGCTGCAAGGGATGCCTCTTGAATGTTGCATAAAGCAGTGTAGGTGTAGCGGTACGTGACGTAAATGAAAGAAATGACGTGGGTGATTTATCGTATAGCGAGGGTGTGGCAAGGTTATATGATATACATATTACGTCATAGTGATAATGATAATGCTAGCTAAGTGATGATAATGATAATGAGGTAATAATGATAAAGAACAATAGATTGGCGAATGATGACAATGGCCGTAGTGAGGATAATAATGATGACAATAGAAAAAAAAGAATAGATCTTTGAATATTCTTAAAATTATGAGGGCAACAACAATAATAATAAAGGTAATAATAACAGTAAAAGCATTAGCAGTAATAAGATAAAAAAGGTATAGTTACAGATTCCAGTCTTTGAACTTGGGGAGAATAACAATAGTGATGATAATAATGCTGAAGATAATAAGTATGTCATTATCCTAATTACTATTGCTGTTATACTATTAATGATCATTATCACTATAATCTTCATCCTAATGAAGATAATAAAGAAAAAATAATAACACCGATGATGATAATATTGATAATAATACTAATACTAATACTATTACTAATACGACCACTGATTATAACTATAATGATATTTGATAACAAAACAATAATGATGATAGTAATAACAATAATTATGATAATGATAATGAGGAGGAGGAAGATAATAACAATGATAATAATAATACTAATAATAATGATAATAATAATAACAATGATAATAATAATAATAATAATAATAATAATGATAATGATAATAATAATAATAATAATAATAATAATGATAATAATAATGATAGTAATAATAATGATAATGATAATATTAATAAGTTAACGATGGTGATAATGATAATATTAGTAATAATGAGAATATAATGATAACAATAATAATGATAATGATAATAGTAATGATACTGATGATAATAATAATTACTATTATTATGAAAATGATAATAAAAAAAAAATAGTGATAATAATAATGATTATGATAATAATGATAATAATAATAGTAATAATAATAATAATAATAATAATAATAATAATAATAATAATAATAATAGCATTCTTGATATCTATGATTATTATGATAAAAACAACAATGATAGATAACATGAAAATAAAGTAATCAAGATGATTACAAAAAAGGTAATGATAACAATGGTAATAATAACAATAATAATGATAATAAAGATAGAGAATGATAATGATAAAGATGATAATTATGGTATACTACGACTACTACTACTACTAATGATAATATACATAGTAATAATGATAACAGTAGTAATGATAATAATAATTATAACAACAATGATACTACTACTACTACTACTACTACTAATTATAGTAATAATGACATTGATGATAACAATAATAATGATAATAATAATAATAATGATAATAATAATAATGATAATCATCATCATCATCTTCATCATAATAATAATAACAATTATTATGATAATAATGATAGTAATGATAATAATAATAATAATGATAATTATGATAATAATAACAATAATGATACAGCTACTACTACTACCAATAATAATGGTCATAATAATAAGGACAATAGTGATAGAAAAAAACACAATGTAAAATTAGATTTATTGAAAGGACAATAGTAATAATAATAATGATAATAATAGTAATAATAATAATAATAATAATAATAATAATAATAATAATAATGATAATAATAATATTGATAAAAAGATATTAATCAACAACAATGATAATGATAAAAATAATGATATTGATAGTAACAATATTAAAAATAAAGCTAAGAATTATAGTAATGATAAGAATAATTACAATAACAACACAACAAGAACAAGAGCAACAACGACAACAACAATGATAATAATAATGATAATAATAATAATAATAAGAATGATAGTGATAATAACGATAATAATAATAATAATAGTAGTAATAATAATAATAATAAGAAGAAGAAGATGAGGAAGAAGAAGAAGAAGAAGAAGAAGAATGATAGCAATAATAATGATAATAATAATAATAATAATAATAATAATAATAATGATGATGATGATAATAATAATAGTAATAATAACAATAATAATGATAACAACAACAACAATGATAACAATAATAACAATAATGATAACAGCAACAACAATGATAATAATAACAATAATGATAGTAACAACAACAACAATAGTGATATTAATAATGATATTGATTGTAACAAAATTAATCATAAAGCTAATATTTATAGTAATGATAACAAAAGCAACATCAACAACAATAATAATGATAATACTAATAATAAAATCAATAATACTAATGATAATATTAAAACTAATGATAATAGTAATAATAATAATAATAATAATAATAATAATAATAATAATAATGATAATACTAATACTAATAATAATAATAACAATAGTAATAATAATAATGATAATAACAACAACAACAATAATAATATCAACAGTAATGATGAAACTAATAACACTGATAAAAACAATATTAAGCATAAAGCTAATATTCATAGTAATAATACTAGTAATGATAACAATAGCAACATAACAACAGCAGCAACAACAACAACAACAACAACAACAACAATAATAATAATAATAATAATAATGATAATAATAATAATAACAATAATAATGATAATATAAATAACATCAATATCAATATCATTGATATTAATAACAAAACTAATTATAGTAACAATGATAATAAAGACAAAAATAGTGATGATGAAATATAACAGTTACAACAACAAGAAATCCACATCAATAATTATTATAATAATGTGAATAATGACAATAATAACGACTTTGTTATTATTGCCGTTATCAAAATCTTTATTGCTGCCATCATTATCGCTGTCGCTGTTAACATTAGAGACATAATAATAATAACAAATAAGAAGAACAGAGAGAGACAGAGAGAACGAAGGAAGGATGCCGTAAATCAATGAATAATTAAAAATCCGTAGATTAACCCATATCAGAATAAATGATAACATTTTCCCCCTAATTAGCCAAGGTCTTCTGAGATATTAACCAAGCGGGTGAGGGGAAGGGTCGAGAGGTGAGGGAGAAATGATACCAGATGCACCACGGTTGTGACCACGGCTGTTGCGGGGTCTTAAAGATGACTATACTGTAGGTTAGGGCAGTGTGGTCCTCCTGCCGTGGTATCATTTGAAGTAGGCGAGGAAACACCCCGTTATAATGTAGTGGTTGTTTTTTATAGAATAACAGATGTGATTTTCTGTTATCTTTTCTTCGTCTTCTTCTTCTTTGCGTTTTAATGAAATGTTGGCAAAATGGTAAAATGCTCGGAGGATGAAAACGCTTATTTTTATTATTATTCTTTAAAGGTGGTGGGTCAGTTTTAGGAAGGGTTGAGTGAGCGGATAGCACATATAATACCAATCCGGTGCTAAAAGGAGTGATACCAGTAACATATATGCTTGTGGTGGCTTATGTACAGTGTCTCGTCTCACACAAGCTTACAGGTGGCAGTGAAATTCAAACAGACCAACACATTCTAGGTATAAAATCTCACTTCACACACAATCTTGCCTTTTTTCGTCCGAATAATGTTATGTTATGCCGTGTGTAAAGGAAGGTCATCATAAATAAAAAGATGACAAGTTGTATAAACTTGTCGGTTGCAACCATGGGCGTTGTCAACCCAAAGTACCGCGGCCACACACCCTCCCACCATCCCCTTGGCACCGGCAAAAGGAGTCAAGAAATTAATAGAATAATCTTATTTTTTAGGGTTATTTTAATATCCTCTATACACAGGATAGAAAGATATACATTGCCTCAAACCATGTAATGATATGAGGCGAGGAAAATGGCTAAAATGGGAGTTAAAGTGGTACTTGGCATCCCGTCGCGCAGAGGCGAAAGGCCCCCACGCTGGGTGTCGGTGGCACTTCGGTTCAGCTTGTAGTTGTTGCGTGGCATCTGTGACAGGCACACCACGCCGGGCTCACTCCGCACCTTGATTGTGCACTCATTCCGTTTCGCCGCAGGAGCTCAACACTGCACAGAGACACTGATTCGTCTCAAATGTGAGATCCGATGAGAGAAATGTGAACGTGAATTAGTGCTGCGGTTTTTGTTTTTATGTTTGTTTTCCCCCCCTTCGTGATGTGTTGGGAGATTTTCCTATCGTTTCTGATTTAATTTCGACTCTCCCTTAGTTCATATATAAAAATTATAAAGGGCCAACAGAGAAAAAAAAGAGGGAAAGAGAAAGATTAAGATAGAACAACAGGCGTGCTTTATCACCACCAGTGCTGCTTGGGTGTACAAACTCTACGCGATCTGTTGTATCACCAGAAGACCGGACGCGTCAAGTTATCAG